CAAAACAAACTGGCTGTTGAGAGATTTACTTGACTTGTCTTTGGGAGTGTACTGAGTTACAAATATGCAGAAATTTGTTCACAAAAGGCTGTGCCATTGCTATCAGTTATACTTTGCAAATAACTTGTGTTATACAGATTTTCACGACTCTAAGAAGCACATTTCAAGAAATAAAATCTACTGATCAGGGCTTTCTAATGATAAGGCTACTTGGAATAGTGGTGTATCCTACTAATTGGCAATAACTCCAGTTCAAGCTCCCACCCATCCTGAGGTAACCAATCTCAGCAAAGCAGTATTAATAGGACTATTAAGAATATCATCCTGCCTAATAGTGGGGGACAGAAATAGCTAGGGGTTCCAATTCACTTTAAGATGCACTTTTGCAGAACTTAAGTGAAGTCCCAGCAAGGTCAAGTCCTGATAGTCCAACTGAATATCAGTACGCAGGTTTACCAATGTCAAGGTCACGGTAGATTGACCAGTTCAGCTCAGAACACAAAGCAGGGATGATACAACAGCAACATAAGCACTTTCTGAAAAAGGGCAGAAAAAAAAACAAAGTTTGCGAGATCTAGCTCCATAGGAATCCTTTCCATCACACTATGAACAGAGATGGTAATTTTTTTTCCCCCAAAAGATCGCCGAGATAGTGATTTGAAGGATTAATCTTATCTTCATTGGAATGTACAAACGTACACCACATGGTACATATGTACAGAGGATTCATAAGGAACAAATTCATTTACAAAACACCAGGCACAATTACCTACACAGACCTATTATTCGGCCGGTCCACTCACACCATTTGCATGATCTTTTGATCTCTCTACCCATAATTTGTGTGATTTGCTCTCATTTCACCTGAAGGAGCAACGCTCTGAAAGTTTGAGATTTCAAATTTCAAATAAACCCATTGGACTATAACCTGGTGTCATCTGGTTTCTGACCTTGTCCACCCCAGTCCAACACCAGCACTTCCACATCTGGAAGCAATTACAACCAGGTGCAATAAACAATTAGGGGAGAATACATAGAAATAATTTTGAATGCATTTTCTAAAAGATGTATTAGCTGTCCAAAATCAGCTTATTCCAACACTTTCAGTTTTTATAACACAATCAACACAACATTAAAGCAGCCCCCTAGTGGTAACGCAGCATTCATAAAAAAGTTCTGCTTTGAAAAAAAACATGTGGCTACCTGGATCAATTTGGTTCAGAAGATACATACTGAAGCTATGTAAAACCTGGGAATTTATAACCACTATCCCCCACCACATCCAAAAGCAAGAAAATACTACTGCAACATTAAAAATGAAGTGACAGCTATAAATACAAAGGGAGTAAACATTTATTGCAGTGGCAATGCACTTAAACCACAAATAGAAAAGAACCATTTATATATTTGTACCAAACAACTTGGAAAACGTTTAAATGTGCTGCATATTTACCATAATCCAACAACTGTTTCAATTCGGCACCACCACATGAACCAGATGTTCGGTATAAATTGGCACACTCTAAACCTGTAAAATACAAGTGCATTCATTGGGTAAGTTTTATTGGCTTTAGTCATACAGGAACACTTAAACATGAAGGAGTCTAGACAAGTTAACAAGCTACACCATTAAGTAACTAGTGTTGAACAATTCATTTGCAGCAATTCTGGCTAAATGCAGTTTTAAGATATAGTGGCTTCCACATTAAATTCTGACATGAAACCTTTTATTCTGACTATAAAGAAAACTGAAGATTAACATGATTTGCAAACAAATCAGCGCTGTTAAAACGATATAGCTAAAAGCTTACAATTAAACTTACAACTGTAAAGTTATGTGATATATTCTTAAAAATCTAGAAAACCTTTAACATATGCTTTCTTGATAAAATGGATTAGAGACAAAAATGTAAAACTGTGGTTGTTAATCACGTTGCCAGCAACACTTACAATGAAAGTTCAAATACACAAATATTTGAAACAAAAAAAAACTGGAAACATGTACCAAAATTTTCCATGTGACAGTCCTCAGCACCAGTTACATAGATAGCCATACAGTGTTCACAATTGAGAGGACCTATTTGACCAAATATTCCAAACTATTCCAGTACAAATTAATGTTTACCACCCCAGACCAGAGTTACATCAACATAGGTAATGTAAACCAAATTCATACTTTTACAAAAATACTTAGAAGCCCAGCAGTTTTCCACTTAGTGTTTATAATTGCTTCTGCAATCTTATCAAGAAACTCTCCTTTGAACAGATATCAGGACTAAAAACACCATTGTGAAAACCAGCATATGAATTCAGATTGTAAACTTTACCTGTTTTTTCAATAGCCTCTACTAATTTCACTAGGATTGCTGGTGCAACGTCTGGGGGTGAGAACTGCTCCGTTAAATCTGGTAGAACAGAAGCTGCAGAAATATAAAAAAAAAATAAATTTAGTTAATGTTCTAGCAATCTAAAAATAAATGCATGACTGTTTAATTTTTAAATCCTAAATAAATGTTCTTATTGACTCTGTCAATATTGCAGACACATCCTCTCCATAAGTCTGGCACACTCAAACAGATTGTACTCACAAACTATGTTTATTCCGATTACCCAAAGATCACGAGAAACTTTCTGGCTTAATGTTTGACTTTTAGAAAAGATATGGGACTTGAAGTAATTTATTACCATATTTAACAAAGATCTTCAAAGACTGTTCTGATTTGTTCAGCTGGTTCACTCCTCCCAATTTCTACTTTAAAGAATTCCCAGCTTAAAATTTTATTGGAAAACCAAAAGATCTAGTTCTCAGAGAAGTTCTTTGGGGTTTAATTGGAAACGCCATATATATCTGTACGACTATATGGATTTTTAGACCCAACTTGTTAATGTATATTTGAATATACAAAAGAAATTTTAAGACTTGGTTGGGTTTGAAATTGTGTGCGTGCGCACGTGATCCGAGAGGGAGGAAAACCTGGGGGAGAAAACTCACTAAAAAGATTTAAATAACGAGGTGAAAAAATTTTTCTGAAGAAGGGTCTAGGCCCAAAATGTCAGCTTTCCTGCTCGGCCTGCTGTGTTCATCCAGCTCTACACCTTGTTATCTCAGATTCTCCAGCATCTGCAGTTCCTACTATCTCAAAAAGATTTAAATGCTCGATTTCTCCTTTG